ATATCAAGTGAATATTAACTTTATCACATTATTAAAATAATGAATATATCCAGCTGCAAAAATCATGTGATGAAATTACTGAAGCATGCCTGCAAAGTCATAAATGATTAAAGTTGCACTCATCTGCTTATAAATAGAGTATGGACATATGAGCTCAAGCACATCAAAGAGACAATATTTCTATAATATCTGCTTAACAAATATAGAACACATATTCATTTTGAAATGGCTCCCAAACGTACCCGCAACTCTTCAATCTCGCAGGAACGGGTTTTTTTTAAGGGTGAGTGGACAAGGGATGTTGAGAAATTTTTTGTGAAGGAACTCGTAGCACAAGTTGTTGAAGGAAACTTCCAATTGGGGAAGCCTAATCATCACGCCATCCTCTGTGCCATGGGTGTGATCAAGGAAAAATTTGGTAAGACCTTCGATTTAAAATTCTGTCAAGATAAAATTCACAAGCTTCATAGACGCTATCAAGTTTTCAAGTGGATACTTCAACAAAGTGGTGTAACCTACAATCCTGGGAATAATAAGGTCTATGCTAGTGACTTTACGTGGGAACACATTATCAGAGTAAGTGTGATTGACCTATTTTGGTATTTCTATATGCCTTAGTGATTTGTAGTTTCATATTCTTATTTACCTTGGCATAAATTGATTTTTCTAGAATGAGAAGCTCGGAATGGCCTACATGGAACATGGTGAATCAACTTTCGATTTGCTGGAATGCCTGTTCGGAAAAGGTGAAGAGATGGTGCCTCAACCGTGCGCGAGAGTAGTGATTGACATTTCAGATGACACCATGGAGGAAGGCGATGAAGACGATAACGACGAGCATGATGCTCAGCCACTCTTGGCTGTTGAGAACGACTCGGACAACACCAACAACGCTTTTCATTACGAACTTGGTTGGTACAACTCCGACTCCACTAGTGTATCGTCACTTGCTGACCCTGAAAAGCCACCAACCACAGTCGCTTCTACTTCGGAGGTTTTGGGTAAGTTTAAGAAGCATTGGGCCGCACACGATTGGGAAAAGCACACAGAAGATGTGGACGATGAGATTCCAAACAGTTCAACAGCTTCGTCATCTCCATTCAAAATGTAGCTGGCCGTGATGCACGTAAATTTCGGTGGTTGATCTTTAATCGTACTCGTTAGGATGACTATTTGGTTTATCTTTAATCGTACTCGTTAGGATGTTCTTGTATTTTCCATTCAATAACCAGCTTAGTCCTTTGGTTCTTTGCTTAGCGGAATTCTCTGGAAAGTTGGGTAGATTCACTGTTGCATTATGGTATGTACTATGTAATCATTTGAATAAAGAAATCACCAAATATTTCTTTTTTATACCTTGTCAAATATTTTCATATTGACATTTGAAGTCTTTTTTTTTTTTTTTTTTTTTTTACTTTGATTGCATCATTTGGCTATCAAATTTTATGTGTGTTTGTGTGCGTGTGTGTGTACCATAATTTTTTTGAGAAGTATTCTACGCAGTGCTTGTTTTAGAATGAGTTTACTGTTTTAGGAGGGGGAACATAACTCTGTGTTCTTTTTTAATGTTTTGTGTTCAGGGGAGATTTTTAGAGAGCATGATTTGGTTATGAATGTGTTTGCGTCTGTATTATGTTAGTTGTTGTATTATGGAGGCAAATTTTTTTATGAAATATGAACTTTTAGGTATGTCTCAAATTCCACTTAGATTTCTGTTTTTCTTCAATAGCTTGTAAAGTTAGCCTCCCAGGTTGTAAACTTTTAGCTTTGTTTCAGAAATACTAAGTTACAATTTAAGAAAAAACAAGTTGTAATGAATTAAACAATAGGGATCCTAAAGCTCAAGTTTTGTGGCTCAAATTTCCAACAGAAATAAAGCAAAGAAAAAAAAAGAGAGAGAGAGAAAGGTCCAAACTGTAACAACAATGTCACAATTGCAAAGTTTCACATATACTGGGATAGAAATATAAATCGAGGACATATAATTTTACTACTAAACATAGCTTTAATAGATTAAAACAAAATATTGAA